GTTACGGCACCTCCCTGTTCGGTCACCCGCTGCTGATGTCTGTGCCACGCGCCCAGTGCACAAGGGAAGATCTTTACCAGCTCCTCCTGAAAAGACTGGCGTAAGTCTAGCCGGTCATGTTCGTTCGGTCACAAGCTAGTTTTGATTAAATATCGGGGGATCGTTTAGTTTTCAATATGCTGTACATTTATTATGTGTTTTTGTTATAGAAGGAAAACACATACAGTGACCATGATAGACATTATTTCTACAATAAAACAAAAACAATAATATTAATACGATTATAAAAATGTTACCAGATATGTCATTAGTCCTGGAATCAAATTTGTATTTTTCCTTTATTATGTTTTTTTTTTTTTTAAACTGCGTCGTATTGATTGTTGTCCATAAAAATATTTTTGTACATATTTTACTGCCAGTAGATGCATTCAATTATAAGTTTCTTTGTATAAATGCATCTCGTAACTAACTGCTTCTTGTATCTTCTGTGATCTTATGGTGTTATTGTGCTTGTTTATTTCAGTATCACTGGTTTTTGAGTGCATTTTGTTGTGATCTGGTTTTTAAAGGCCAAAGTTGTGTTGCCATTCATATGTGTCATGATTGTGTCCCTGCATAGGCGATATGTCCGTCCACTAGACCCTTCAGAAGAAGTAGAGGAGGAAGAAGATGAGGAAGAGTTGTACAAGGCACAGACCAATGGAGTTAGTGATGGTATGACTTTGTTTTTTATTTTAAAAGAAACTAATACTTTTATTCTGCAAGGATGCATTAAATCCATTAAAAGTGACTGTGAAGCAATGTTACAGAAGATTCCTATTTCAAATAAATGCTGGTCTTTTGAACATTTTATTCATCAAAGAATCTTGATAAAAATGTCACAGTTTCCACAAAAATATTAAGCAGCACAACTGTTTTAATGTTTCTTAAGAAATGTTTCTTGAGCAGCAAATCAGCATATTAGAATATTTTCTGAAGGATCATGTGACACTGAAGACTGGAGTAATGACAGCTTTGCATCACAGGAATAAATTACATTTTAACAAATATATTAAAATGGAACATAGTTATTTTAAATTGACATAATATAAGAGACTTCTTTCAAAAACGTTAAATGACCCCAAGCATTTAGTGTACCAATAATGATTCATTTATGAACAGATGAAGGTGAGGAAGACTCTGAGGCTACCAGCAACACGACTCTCAGGAGCTGCTGTCTTTCCTGTTGGACGGTCTACATGAAGACCTAAACCGGGTCAAAAAGAAGGAGTATATTGAACTCAGGGATGCTGATGGCAGACCTGACCAGGTGCTTTTCACACACAAACACACACACACACACACTATAGTACACAAAGAATAACTCCCGTAATGTGCACCTCATGTGATATATGAGTGACACATATCACTTTATTAATAATTCATTTATCGAATGCTGTTCTCACTCTTGTTTATAAACAAAGTGTGTAAATGAATAAATAAATTCCATTCTGTTTTATACGGTTGAAAGTTTTCATTCACATAGATTTTAAAAAATATCTGGCAATTAATTTGTTATTAACCAGTTTTTCCAGCTTAGTCTCTATAAAATCCACTATTGTTCAACCTCTAAACGTAACCATATTGATATCTCTACAACAAAACAAAGTGTTACTATGAGAATCTAATTTCTATTTATGCCTTACAGGAAGTGGCTGAGGAAGCATGGCACAACCATTTGCGGCGGAACGATTCGGTCATCGTCGACACATTCCACGGGTTGTTTAAGTCAACTCTGGTGTGTCCCGAGTGCAACAAGGTCTCTGTGACCTTCGACCCCTTCTGCTATTTGAGCGTGCCCTTACCTGTTAGTAAGGAGAGGGTCATGGAGGTCTTCTATGTGTCACTGGATCCCACAGCCAAACCCACCCAGGTTTGTATAATGTCATATACTGAAAAAAAACAGCAAAATACCAAAATCCTCAGTCATTTTTGGCAGGAAAAGCAGCATATGTGCAGCACGACAGACTTGTTCATTATGAGTGAGCCCATGCTATGAGTTTGGCAGATGTGAATGATGTAGCACTGCAGGTTTGTAAACAGGAAGACAGCTGGTGGTGTGAGATGATGTCATCAGAACCGGTTTTGCTTAAGGCAAAGTAGTCTGACAGTTCTGTTGAACAGCATTTAGTAAGGTTTCAGTAAAACCACTGCTTTACTGTGAGTTTTGTTCATCCTGATGACTGATGAATGTGTCTGTCTTCCCTCTGCAGTATCGTCTGATTGTCCCTAAAGCTGGCCGAGTGATTGACTTGTGCGCTGCCCTCTCTCAGGCAACAGGCATCCCTCCCAACCAGGTTCAAACAAGCCTTTTAACTACTGAAACACTGGCAAAATGTATTGACACATTTTTTATGGATATAATCTTGGTTTGATTAATGATATGACCCTGTATCCATGTCATCAAGAATCCAAACCCATTTAAAGTTTTTGTTCTGAGCTCATAATTGGTCTGCTCTTCACAGATGGCTGTGGCTGATGTTTTCAATCACCGCTTCTACAGGATTTACCAAACTGATGAATTCTTAAGCTGTATATTGGACCGGGACGATATATTTGTGTAAGATAGAACTAATGAGTAAACAGCTTTAATTGTACATACACGCCAACACATATACAGTGTTATTACAGATATACAGTGTTTATTAAGCCAGGTTCATTCATTTCCAATTACCTGGCAATATTGTCCATGAGAAATCATGAAATATATATATATATATGCAGTGGGTATAGAAAAGAATCAACCCCCTTTAAAATAATCACATTTTGTTGCTTTGTATGTTGGTGTTAAATCTTTCACTTGGATGTTATAAGTTGCACTGAGTAAATACAGCTGGATAAAACAAAAACTGTGTCTGTCTTGTGTCATGATTGTGTCCCTGCATAGGCGATATGTCCGTCCACTAGACCCTTCAGAAGAAGTAGAGGAGGAAGAAGATGAGGAAGAGTTGTACAAGGCGCAGACCAATGGAGTTAGTGATGGTATGACTTTGTTTTTTATTTTAAAAGAAACTAATACTTTTATTCTGCAAGGATGCATTAAATCCATTAAAAGTGACTGTGAAGCAATGTTACAGAAGATTCCTATTTCAAATAAATGCTGGTCTTTTGAACATTTTATTCATCAAAGAATCTTGATAAAAATGTCACAGTTTCCACAAAAATATTAAGCAGCACAACTGTTTTAATGTTTCTTAAGAAATGTTTCTTGAGCAGCAAATCAGCATATTAGAATATTTTCTGAAGGATCATGTGACACTGAAGACTGGAGTAATGACAGCTTTGCATCACAGGAATAAATTACATTTTAACAAATATATTAAAATGGAACATAGTTATTTTAAATTGACATAATATAAGAGACTTCTTTCAAAAACGTTAAATGACCCCAAGCATTTAGTGTACCAATAATGATTCATTTATGAACAGATGAAGGTGAGGAAGACTCTGAGGAGGCGGGGCCATCCAAGAAAGAGGAAGAGACTCAAGAAAGCAGTCAGACCGAAGAGCAGAACAACTGCCAATCAGAAGCCAGCCCGAGCAGCGAGGGGGAGGAGAGAGCCGAGGAGGAGGAGTCGAGCAGCGAACCGGACCGGGGCAGCAGTACGGAGGAGGGCCAATCAGCATGCGGCAGCACTGACACCAACTCCCAAGACGCCACTGACGTGGACCAAAGTGCTGGCGCGGAACCTTCGGGAAAGGAGGAAGAGGACGAAGATGAGGATGAGGAAGAAGAGGAGCCTGCATCTTGCGCGCAGGCAAATAAGAGGCTTCCGGGAAGACGGCACTACACTGAGAGGCGGAAAAAAGCCCTCTTTACCATGCAGGCGGTCAACTCTAATGGTACCACGGAGCGAGGGATGGGAGAGGCGGATGGCAGCTTCTCTTTCAGCTGTAAGTGCACTCTAATGAGAAACTCAATTTATTACAGACTTCTCTACACATCTGATGCTTTTGTACAACTTCAGGGTCATGCGCGGACAAGCGAGGGTCATAACAAAGTGAGATTGCATGTCTTTTATCTTTCCGGCTGCTCAATTCACATCTTTTGATAGTCATGGTATCTTTTAACTTGTTGCATTCATAAGCGCAAATGTTCCTGCTCCTAATGGCGTGACTCACTGTTTCTGTTTAGCTCAGCCATATATCGCCATCGACTGGGACCCTGACATGAAGAAGAAGTACTACAATGAGAATGAAGCCGAGGTAGGATTACTAATGAATGCTTTGATCCTTAAGAAATGCTTTGCGTCTGTTCTTTTACTAGGAAATGAATGTAATCTCTCATACAAGGATCAATCCAGTCTATTCCATTAGAGGTTTAGTGTTATACTCTTAGAGGGCAGTCGTGGCCTAAAGGTTAGAGAGTCGGACTTGTAACTCAAAGGTCAAGGGTTCAAGTCTGGGGGGAGTGAATCTACAAGCGCTCTCTTCCACCCTCAATATCACGACTGAGGTGAGACCCTTGAGCAAGGAACCAAATCCCCAACTGCTCCCCAGGCGCTTCAGCAAAAAAGGCTGCCCACTGCTCCGGGTGTGTTCACGGTGTGTGTGTGTGTTCACTACTCACAGCTGTGTGTGTTTACTTGGATGGGTTAAATGCAGAGCACAAATTCTGAGTATGGGACACCATACTTGACTCACTTTCACTTTCATTTGTATTGCTCCTAATGCAGTGATAAGTCGGGTCACCTTCACTTATATAGAGCTTTATACAATACAGATTGTTTCAAAGCAACTTCACAGTAATGAACAGGAAAATAACAGAATTGGTGATATGCAAGTTCTGCTGTAAAGCTGCTCTAAAAAGATTATTCAACTAAAGTCAGTTCATGTTGATTCAGTTCAATAACGGTGTAAAGTTGCTCAATTTCTGAAGCGAGTTCAGTTCAGCTATAAGCAGCTCTACAAAATAGAGCTGAATACTGTCGTTATTTCGCTTAAGCCAGTTCAATTATTAACTTAGTTCAGTTCAGTAACAGTATTAATGTTGCAAAATTCAGCAATTATGAAACAAATTCAAATCAGCTAAAAAGCAGTCCTACAGAAGACAATATTGTATTTATTCAGCTCGGTTCTTTTCAAGTTTTGTTCTCAATCAAAAGTGTCAGTGCAGTCAAATAAATAATATTACTGAATATAAAGTGTTTTAAACCAGCACTGCATTGCCTCGCTTTTCTCTTATTTATTTATTTAATTTATCAAAAACAGTGGTTCTCATCCCAGCACAGCACCAAAGGTTATGTACATAAAGTAAACATCATTAAAATAAATAAACAAACAAACATTTTTTCCCTTCCTAAGCTAGTTAATATTCTATTTATTGTGCTATCCTAAATATGCATTAGTTACATTTTTTCAAATCAGCATTTATCATTGTTTTTCTTGAATGTCCGTGACTCAGTCAGACAAAGTTTGTACCTCACCAGTCAGGAACCACTGGTCTGCTCTCACAGTGCTTTTTAAAGCTTTGTAATATGCAAATTATGCTTAAATGCAGTATTAATTTGATCCTTTAATTCATTAAATATCAAAATCCATTTGTTTCAGTCTTGGCTGTTTCGAGCTATGCAAACTGCAGCATTTCTGTTGCAAACATATGTTTTTTTCAATGTGTTTATGCAGAAATATATAAAGCATCAGAGCATGGACGTCCCTCACCAGCAAACCACAGTGCAGCTGCAGGAATGTATAGAGCTCTTTACCACGGTAGAGACACTGGAAGAGGAAAACCCCTGGTAATATACTACTTGGTTCTATCACAGATTCTAGCCTTTTATTCCAATCTATCCTTTATGAGCATGAAGAAAGAGGAACATTTTGTGTTCTTAGTTGCATAATTTAAAGCCAAAAGCATTTGTTTTCTAGAGATGTATTTAAAGAACAGGATTGCTTCCTCTGCACATGTAACTTTGTGTTTGTTTATGTGGTCTGTAGGTATTGTCCGACATGTAAAAAGCATCAGCTTGCCACTAAGATATTGGATCTGTGGTCTTTGCCGGAGGTTCTTATCATCCATTTAAAGCGTTTCTCCTACACAAAATACTCTCGAGAGAAACTGGATACCATCGTGGAGTTCCCCCTGCGGTAAGATGAAGACATGCATACACTAGTGTTCAAAAATTTGGGGTTGGTAGGATTTTTAAATGTTTTTGAAAGAAGTCTATTATGCTCACCAAGACTGCATTTATTTGAGAAATGTACAGTAAAAACAATAATGTTGTGAAATATTAAGATAATTTTCTATTTGAATGTATTTTAGAATGTAATTTATTCCTGTGATGGTAAAGCTGAATTTTCAGTATCATTACTCCAGTCTTCAGTGTCACATGATCCTTCAGAAATCATTCTAATATACTGATTTGCTGCTAAAGAAACCCTTATTATTATTATCAATTATGAAAACAGTTGTGCTGCATAATATTTTTGTGTAAACTTATTTTCACAAAATACTTTTTCCATTTTTTTTGAAGAATAAAAGGTTTAAAAGAACAGCATTTATTTGAAATATAACATTTTGTAGCCTTATTGATGTTTTTGCTGTCACTTTTTATCAATGTAATGCTTCCTTTGTATAAATATATTAATTGGTAATGTACAATTGTAAATGTTATTCATTCATTCATTTATTCTTGTGTAATGGTGACATACTGCATAATTATAGTGGAAAAATAGGGTCATAAATGTTCCTTCACATCCTCCCAATCTATAAATTAGTTAGCAACCTTTATATAGCAAACTAACTATCTTCAGTGGTTGATTCTCAAACTATTACATTTGTTTCCATATGTTGTTATTGCTCTGGTGAAAAGCAGCTCTCATTCTCTGACTGCAGGGATCTGGACTTCTCAGGTTTCCTCCTAAAGAAGACAGTGAACAGTACTGAACCTCCCTGTAGATATGACCTGATCGCTGTGTCGAACCACTACGGCGGACTCCGAGACGGTCACTGTATGCATCAGTCTTTTTAGCTTTTATTAAACAGCACTAATGTCAAAAATTGCATGCTATTTTGATTAGTGACAATAACATTACACAAATATTTCTCTTTTGTCCCCTTCTAGATACTAGTTATGCCCGGAACAAGGATAATGGTCAGTGGTATTACTTTGACGACAGCAAGGTGACCTATGCAAGGGAGGAACAAATAGTGGTGAGATTAGTGCAGCTTTCTGTGGTTTGCTTTATCAACATGAAATCAAAATTTTTTTGGTCTTGCCGTGCATGATTCATCAGTGCACGCTCTTCTAAAATGAAATGTTTGTTTTTCCTCGAAATACAATAACTTTCTCAGCCTCCGAAATGACTTGGCCACACGTGTCAAGAAAGACAGATCTGTTTAAAATGATGTCCACAAGAAATGGTCATATCAGTGGACTGGAGTTGTTTTATTCTACATAAACTCATGGTGGCCGCTCCCAAATTATTAGCCTGGATCTCAAATCCAGGCGTAATTTGGGAGTTGGCTAATAATAATATAATTAAAAATACAATTCATAAGTTTACTATTTGTGACCTTGGACCACAAAACCAGTCATAAGGGTCAATTTTTCTAAATTAACTAATGAATAAATAAGCTTTCCATTGATGTATGGTTTGTTATGATAGGACAATATTTGGCCGAGATACAACTATTTGAAAATCTGGAATCTGAGGGTGGAAAAAAATCTAAATACTGAGAAAATCGCTTTTAAATTTGTCCAAATGAAGTTCTTAGCAATGCATATTACTAATCAAAAATTAAGTTTTAATATATTTACAGTAGGAAATTTACAAAATATCTTCATGGAACATGATCTTTACTTAATATCCTAATGATTTTTGGCATAAAAGAAAAATCAATCATTTTGACCCATACAATGTTTTTTTTGGCTATTGCTAAAAATATACCCAAGCGACTTAAGACTGGTTTTGTGCTCCAGGGTCACATTTAGTGCTTTTATAGTGCTTAATGGTGATTCACGAAACTACATCTAAACAAACCAAACCATTTAATAAGCACAATATGACAAAAGTTTGGGGTCAGTACGTTTTTTTTTTGTTTTTTTTTTTAGACTTTTTAATACTTTACAAATGCTAGATAAGACATTTATAATGTAACAAAACTGTTCTTTTGAACTTTCTATACATCAGAGGATCCTAAAAAGTAAAATAATTTTTTTTATGAAAATAAATTTCCATAAAATTATTAAGTGTTTTCAACATTCGAAATGTTTCTTGAGCAGCAAATCAGCATATTATACTGATTTCTGACGGATCATGTGACACTGAAGACTGGAGTAATATTGCTGAAAATTCAGCTTTGCATCACAGGAATAAAGTACATTTTAAAAAGTATTTAAAATCGAAAACAAGACTTTAAATTGTAATTTTTGACCATTTAAATTCAGCCTCGGTGAGCAAAGGAGACTTCTTTCAAAAACATTAAAAAAAACATCTTTCTGTTTGACAGTCACTGGTCACTGAAACGTTCACTCTCCCTCTATTCTTGTAGACCAGTGCCGCCTACCTCCTGTTCTACCAGCGCCAAGACAAGATCCGCCATCCCACCATCCCTCCACCCATACCCTCCTCCACCCAGCCAGAGAACCACATCTCATCCCAGACCCGTGATGGCATGGATGGAGCCGCTTCCTGTGTCAGCATGGAGACGGACTGATTTCTGTCCTTTTGTCTTTTACACGTTCCACTTCATTCTTTCTCACTCTTATCACTTCCATCTTTCTGGCATACTGTCGATCGTCTTAATCAACAGAAACTTGAACCTCCGCCTCTGCTCTGACACCGACAGGAAGTGCGAGGCTGGGGCAACTCTCTCAGGCTGGTGCACGAGCATCATGGGGTTGGGAATGCAGATTTATGTGTTTTTTTTCTTTATGACGAACTCAAGGAAACGGGTTAGGCTGGTAGCGGCGGATTCAGCCGCTTCAATGACGATGAGAATTCAGAGAATGAGGTTGGCGCTGCAGTTGGTCATCACTGACGTGTTCTTTATTTTTTTCTAAGCTTGCTTTTCTGAGCTAGCTCAGCTGCTGTCCACAGTGGTGATGTTTGATCTGAACGTACAACCTTCAGCTGCACTGTTTAGCATCATGAATCAGGCCTTCTGTTTATTCCATCTTATTGTTTCAAGCAGCGACGTTCATCATGGGCGCTATTAGCAGGGATGGTTGGGATGGGGGTTTCTCGTATCAGGGACGACATGTTCAGAAATGCTGCTTCAGATTCCTGAGATCTTCTTGTTAAAAGGTGGGTGGAGAAATAGGTGGAGGTAAATGAGAAATAGCTTTCTGTCCACTCACTCGTGAACTATTTATTTTCGTAATTGCTAGATGCTAATGTGGCGTGAGAGATTATAAATGTAAAGAGCGGCTTCATTTTTATTTTCATTCTTTTGATGGTTTTTTCATCTGTCGTAAGGTCTGGGAAAAGCCACTCTGTTGCGGGACACAAACGGAGGCCTGTTTTCCAGCTTTTTTTTTTTTTATCTACTTGCAAAGAAATGCACCAGATTTAAATATTCCATTCTTTTTGACTAGCTGCGTGCAATTTATAACAAACTCTTTGGAGCTATGAGAATATTTCAGCAAAGTGCTTTCTGGATAGAGCTCTTTACGTGATGATTTTTAAGGCACCTCTGTACAGTATTTTTGTATTGTAATAAATGTTGTATTATCTTTGATCATTTGGACCAGATGCTGGGAATGGGGGAGCTTTCATTTTATTTTGTTAATTATAGATTGAATATATAATTGAATACACATCTTTTGATATGAATAAATGCTGACTATAAAGTCAAGGTTAGATTGGACACATTTGACTTCCATTTACATTGTTTTACCTCTGAATAAAAGGACGTGTAGACGTGCATTCCCTCGGTTCGTACTGATTGCATATTTTAACATTTCTCAGTTGCTCATAGTGTTGTAATTCGTTTGGCCCACTGCGTAAAGATCTTACAGAAAATGCTTTTTCATTTGCACTTCCCATTAAGTGACTGCTTTATTGCGTTCCTCAGATGATAATGGATACAGTTTATCGCACTGTTCTTTGAGAGATGTATAAACATATCACTATATGTGGGAGGAGCACTTAATGCATTCAGTATGTTCAAATATCTAATTAATAATAACACAGGTGAATATTCATACAGAAAATTCTGTATGAGAATGTCTATACATAATGATAGTATTTGTTTACTTAATTTATGCAGATTTAATTAAAAGTAAAATGTATTATTACAGTAAATTGTAAATGGCCCAATATGTTCTTGACTGGATTTGTGAGATTTACAAACTTTTTTTTAATAGTCCCTTAAAGGGGTCATATGATGCTACATGCACTTTTACAAGTTGTTTGAACTGAAATGTGTGTTGGCGGTGTGTTAAAATTATCAAAATCCACCCAGTGTTTTTTTTTTTATCTGCTCAAATCTTTCTCAAATCGAGCCGATCTCAGATGCCTGTCTGTGTGACATCACAAACACAGGCCCCTCCCACGATAGTTTGATTGACAGTAGCGTTTCAGCACAGACTGGACTGGCGTCTTACCTCAGACCCGCCCTGAGTGACTGTCATCAGTCCGCCATTGTTTCACCGCCGGAGCAGATGTAGACAAGAATGACTCCTAAGCGATTGAGGTCTTCTGTTGTTGGATGTAATAATGAACATAGCAGTCGTCATTTACTCCAGACATCTGAGCCGCTGAACTCGCAGTGGATTATGTTTGTTTTTGAAGAGAATGCGCCCCCGATCTACATAAATGCGTCTATGTTCGCGCGAATCATTCCTGATCCAGCTTCATCTACAGAAGACGTGTGTAAGGTTTTTTTAATGAATCTTTGCAAATCGCCTTTCCTAATAATGTGCTAATTAGCAAGTTTCAGCATCCTGTGACCCCTTTAAATGATTTAGCTCATTTCTCATCTGCAGTCTTCCACTTTATACAAGGTTTAATGAATGCAATGATCCATTTAAAAAGTTTTTTTTTGTTTTTACTATTTTTACTGTAATTAATGGCTTCATTCTACCATTTATTTCTAAAATGATTCACTAGTGCGGGAATCAACAGCTTCAGAAAGCCACATACAGCATAATTTCTTTAATGCAGCATGTTTCTAATATTAAATTCAGATATTTATTAGAGCTACCGTGCGACCTGCTATCATGATTATATTATTTCAGTGAAATCCATCAGATGGTCAGCTGTGAATATTTGAAATGTTAAAGCAATTAAATATGCTTGAGCTTATTTCTGTCAATGCTACACAATTGTTTTTGCAATATTCGAAAGCCCATTTCGCAGTATAAAACACCAATTTTCATATTTGTGCTTTTGCATTGTGGGGGCATTTTTGTACAGAAATGAAATATTATAAATAAGTTATCAAATAAAAGCTTTTGAGTTTTGGATATTGAGTATGTAGTATTTTCAGTCTGAAACAGAGTCGTGTAAGTGTTAAACATTTGAGTCACCTCTGTGTGATTCACAAACATTAGACAAACCACCTTCTAGCTTCTAGCTCATTTCCTCTCTTCTGATTCATAATTCCTCTCATCTGAAGCACAAACTGATTTCCTCCTCACCTTAGGGTTCCATATAATGTTTATTAAACAATTATCTCTTGCACAGTTACATTCAGTTTGCTGTTATACTATCTCTCTGACTGAAATAATGGCTTGTCAATAAAGGACTGTGTGTTATAATTACAAACCACAATAGAGAAAAACTGCCAGATATAGACCGTTTAATCAAAAAAAAAAAAAAACGAATATAATTTAGATCTATGCTTACAACAAATTAAATGTTCATGTGCAACACTCACAGTTCACAAAAACATGTCAGACATAGATGCTTTGCAGGACATTCACATTCATTCAGAACAAACTAAACCCCATCAAGATCACTGCAGTCAACGAGTATCAACATTGTAAAGAAATCACATCTGCTTATGAATTGAACCATCTTAACAGCACTGGTTCTTATCAAAAAGTGATTTGCAATCAGACAGACGTCAGAACAGGGTTGTTTTGTACTGTAGTTCTTAGTTAAAGAGTCCTCTGAAGTTCAGATCCTGACGCATGAGTTCCTCCTCTACGTTCTCCAGGGCCCATTTGTGCTCCACAATCTCCAAGGATTCCCACTCGCTCTGAAACAATGGTAATGAATACATTTAGAGCATTGAAGAGCTTTATACATCTGAGAAGAGTGTGAACATTCTGCTAAACGTCTCCTTTTGTGTTCCACAGCAGAAAGAATGGCATACGTGTTTACAACAGCATGAGGGTGAGTAAATGATGAGCACATTATCTCTCTCTCTCGAAGTATATAATTATTTGTGTACGAGGATCGAATCGACTTATTGCACCCGACACAATCGGCATTCCCCAAGAAATATAATGTTTCAATAGTTCTGCAATTATGCGAGCTTCAAAACGGCAAAGTTTAAGGTTTCGCAATTATCCTAAGATGATGAGGTTATGAAATGAAAGCAACCACGTTTCCACATCGGGGCTGCTGTTGCATGCATCAATCCGTCCACTGGGGCTGTAGGCACTGTACTCCCAAGAAAAATTTACTTTAAATTTGTGTTAAACACAAACAACTGCTGGCGTGTTTTTTTTTTTTTACGGACGTTGCATGCATGTTTATCCCAGAATAATTTCATATTGCTAAGAAAGAAACCACATAAAGAGAACGATAATCACATATAAACTGTTTAATTTGTGCAAATTATGTTCTACTCGCCTTAAATGCTTTATTAGGATCAGGAGGCATCGCCATCGCCGCCCCCGTCATTTGATCCTGCATAATTCTCGACTGATCCGCAGCTGAAAATAAACACCTTAGTTTAAATAGCTGAGCAAGTCATCTCAATTTCACAGAAAAAAATACAATATGTTAATATAATGTTTAATACAATACATAAAGGTAATTACACATTTTATATATAGATATATATATTCACTGTATGATATTAGATATTGTGTTATATTAAAATAATATACTGTATTGTAATATAATAATTTAATATAACACAATAAGGTTGAGGTCATAAAACGGTCTAAATATCAGAAACAAAAACAACCAACCATTGTCTTGTCCGAGGATGAGTGTGTACATGCTTCTGAGCCCAAACACATTAAGAAAATACCATGACGCTGAACTGACCCTATAAGAGCAACAAATTCAGATTTTATTCACAGTTTTCAGCTTCTGGTAATAAATAAAAAACATCAATGTCAATACTGTACCAGGAAGCGTCCAGAGAGATCAGCTCAATTCCTCTCTGTAACATGGGCTTGAATCTCAGAGTCAGAGGAAAGGGAACTTTAGCTGAACGGGAAACAAGCAGCACAAAAAAAATGGACCTTTATAACAATTCAATTAAACTCTTACAAGCTTACTTTTTTCAGATAACATTCACTTGAGATTTAATCAGATAAATAGCAGCCATTACAGCTTTTAGACATTTTCTAGTCATCCTCGTCTGCTTTTTGGGAAATCATTATAAGTCATTATATTTTTGTTTGGCAACGTTGAGAAAAAGCAAACTGTAGCTGCTTTAAGAGAGAACAGAAGCTTCCGCCAACCACTTGCATCAGCAGTGGACTGAACAAACACATATGCGGTAATCCTACTATGGTTAGAGCCCACCTACCAACGTCTGCCTTTCAGAAAATGAGTTATGAATGTACTGGCCAAACGTTACATCACCCAATTAAAATTCATGAGCCGGCTGTTAAGGTTTAGAATGTCTCCCTTCACATTTCAGATGCTTCCTACATCCCTGAATTCAATCGCACTTACAAATGATTGTTTTAGGAATAAGACTACATTCACACATGCTCACTAGATCCTTTTTATCATTTTAAGGGAGTTGCTCACCATCAAAAAATGGAAATTTGCTTAATATTTACTCACCCTCAGGCCAAACAAGATGTAGATGGGTTTGTTTCTTCATCAGAACAGATTTGGAGAAATTTAGCATTGCATCACTTGCTTACCTCTGCAGTGAATGGGTGCCGTCAGAATGAGAGTGCAAACAGCTGATAAAAACATCACAATAATCCACACGACTCCAGTCCATCGATTAATGTCTTGTGAAGCAAAAAGCTGCGTGTTTATAAGAAACAAATTCATTATTAAGACGTTTTTAACTTTAAACTGTTGCTTCCAGCTAAAATGCATGTCCTCTATCCATAATATCACTTTTTACAATGAGCTTGGATTTTCTTCACAGGAGGAAGCGTTATTATAGATTATGGACTACAAGCAATGGTTTAAAGATAAAACGACTAAATGATGGATTTGTTTCTTTGTCTTGCTTCACAAGACAATAATTGATGGACTGGAGTGGTGTGGAATGGATTATTGTGATGTTTTTATCAGCTGTTTGGACTCATTCTGACGGCACCCATTCACTGCAGAGGATCCATTGGTGAGCAAGTGATATAATGCTAAATTACTCCAAATCTGTTCCGATCAAGAAACAAACTCATCTACATCTTGGATGACCTGATGGTGAGTACATTTTCAGCGAATTTTCATTTTTGGGTGAACTATTCCATTAATTCTGACAATTAACAAAAGCTCTTACTTGTGACAAAACCAGAAAAGGCCCAGTTGATCCATCCTCCAATCAGAATCATTGGCAGCACATTGGTCAGATTCCCCTTCATCATGTCCATCAACGTGCTGGGGTCTGGGACAGGTTTTCAGGCATAGTTATTGCAGATCTTATAATTATAATATAGTAGATAATTTCTTCTATGCTTAGGATGTTAAAGTAGCTCTTACCGGTCATGGGGTTTTTGGGGATCACCTTTCTTTTGACCTTCTTGAAGAATCCAGTCTCAGGGTTGTTGAAATAGTGTTTTCTCATGGCAAATGACTGAAATGAGACCGCGTCATTGATCAGTGACACAAACATGTAAATGGAGCTTTATAAGTTTATTCCATGCAAATATCCTGGGAACTGTAATTCATGAAGTAATTAATACCTGTTTGGGAAGATATTTTCCATTTTCTCTCAGGATGCGGCTGCGCAGCAACACCTGGCTGTCATTTAAAACTAATTAATACGGATAAATGTATATGCATTCACAAAATACACAATGTACACAATCATACACAATGATTAAGTATAAACTGCAGCAGTTGCAATTAGATTCTAAAATATTATTCCCTTAAAATTTTTCCTTAAGTTCCAAGTAATTAAACTCTTAAGAAGAACTTGCCTAGGATTTAATACTTTTTCAGGAAATAAGACAGATTTCCATATATTGTAATTGGGACAAATTTAAAAGATCTGATGATCAGGTTTGGGCAGAATTTAGGAAATGTCTCCTTTTCAATTCAGAGGATTTTGCATAATTAATTATACGTTGACTCCCTGATATGCAGAATACATATTTGCATACAGTATTTCTAAACAATAATGTTCAATACTGCCAATATAATTCACTCAGCAATCAAAACTTATTTTAATTTTGCCATGACAACTTTATAAAGATAAATACTGACAACTTTTTTTTTATTATTCAAATCAATTATACATTTTTAGTCAATTTTTTTGTTGAATATAATTAAACAATTTAATAGATGGAATTTAATTCATCAATATTCTGCCAAGACAAACTATGTAAAGATAAATACTGATATATTTTTTGAAGTTAATTATTATTTTTATTAAAATGAAGTATTGAATATAATGGAATTTTATTAATGTTTTTTAACATTATTCATTTTTTGCCATCTTTTTTTAATAGAATTACAGTATTCTACATATTGTGAGTTTGATAACATGAATTAGTCATCTCACCTGTCAGACACCTGCTGCAGATCCACTTTCTTGTCGTTATGAATCAGCTGAGTGATGTAATGCCGCAAAACTCCGACGAAGAATGTGATGAAGACTATGGGCAAAACAACCCACAGGCGAATGCTGGAGTCTAGCAGCAGCTCTGGGCCTGCCATTCCTACACCAAAACTATCCTTTACAACTATCTGTACTCAAAACACTGACACTTTAAAAGTTTATTATAATGCTCAAATTACGACAAAGTGAAAAGTCAAAGTATGGTAAAACTACTGCACTTTTATACTATAGTAACGGCACATTGCTGCGTGAACATGCGCCATGTGGGCAGCTGCTTTTTGACCTTTGAACTAGTAGTGAGGTCCGATTCGTGAACGAGTCGTTCTATTGAGTCGGATCTTTTAATGAAACTGTTAAACCGATTCACTAACCAGTCTGAATGATTCAAATGCGAATTGGACCGAATCAGTCTGTGCGCCACTCAAATGAATATGACTTTACTAAAGGAAAAATATGTATTATTGATTTGCTTTTGTTATTAGGGAAATGTTATATTCGTCTAAAAACTCAATTTTGCTCAAAACAGCCTTTAAAGTTTATTTAGAATTTGTCAAATTAAAAAAAGAAATCGAAAAGCCCAAAGAACGGTCTCTGCTGAATTGAACATGTTTGTGATGCCCATTCATTTTTTATTTATCTTTTAACTTATGTTTTCTATTTTATTTAAATTGTTTCAATTTATACTTACAAAATGTGTAAACGTGAGAAATATGTCAAGAACTTGCTGTTGAATTCTGTAATTTTGAAAGTTCAATAAAAAAAAGAGTCATAATTGAACCGAGTCTCTTTTGAACATGACCGTTTTAGTAACACACATACACGAAATATAGATAGTTTAAATAAGTGAGTAATGTGTGCATAATAACTTTAGTCAAACGTTTCAAACATGTAATATACCATTCGAAGATGTCTGGGATCTAGTCATAACGTAAAAAAAACTTTTTAACGCGTTCCTTGAGACCATAAAGACTATAAAAACAGACGAACTGTTTCAAAGAACCGATTCGCAGAAATGAGTCGCATGTCCCATCACTACTTTGAACTATGACATATTTACATATTCACATATGTTTTATTATGTGCTTATTTTTTTATCACTAACCGATAGGTAAAAGTATGGCTAATATATGAAATATATATATATAAAAAAAAAAAGTACCTGACGCCATTTCCGGTTTCGAAGACGTTTCCGTGTGTATCTTGTAAACAAGTAGGGAGCCACGTGACAGGCTGAAGGAAGGTTTAGCTTCACACAGTCGAGCATTTTCTATTAAAACAAATTCGTTTGTCAGCTGCAAGATTTTTACCGCTGCACCAGCCCAGCGAAGGGGCTGTCGATCTCTGATGCACGTTAATATTAGAAACATTGACTACGATTAAAATAAATAGCGCTGTATTATAGTCGTTCTGCAACCATCTTTTTTCATATCATGACTCCTGGGGCGCCCGTTATTAATGAAAAAGACTTGCAGTATGAGACTTTTATCAATGAAGTATTGAAACGAGACTTACAGTAAGTATCATCGCTTGATTTTTAGCTTTGGTGAAACAGCTGCAATAGCAATGCTACATGTTTGTACCATGGTAATCCCGTGATTTCTTTAAATATGTACTATCGTAATACCATGGTATTATTTGAAGTACCATTGAGTTCCACATAAATGCCCATTTTACATGATAACGTATATGTATATGTTAATCTCTCTCTCTCTCTCTCTCTCTCTCTCTATATATATATATATATATGTATATATATAGAGTGGA